TCCCAGAATGGCCCTCAGGAGTGGTTATTGAAACGGCTTAGGGAGCAGCGCGAGCAGCGCGCGCCGTGCGAGTGTGTCGGTGGAGTCGACTAGTCTAGTCGACTCTGCGCTGCGGAGGGGGTGGCCAACAACGGGAACGGGGGCTGATGAGGCGCGGCTCGAACAGACAGCCGTGTCTCTGAATTTAAGTGACTTTGCGGCTGCCTGTCGGGCTGGCTGTCGGGCTGGCCGGCCGGCGACCGCAGACCGCACGCCGACACGTGGTGGTGGCGGGGCCGCGCTGTGTCCGTGACCCCCCCCCCCCCCCCGCCCGGCGGTGTTGGATTGACTGGCAGGCCGATTGGGATTAGCGAAGCTACCGCAGTTACACATCGCGAGTTAAATTCGGGAACTGTTTAAATATAGAGTCCGTCATTACAGTGGTGGCCCCGGGCGATCGGAGAGATTGGAGGTTGGGGTGGGGGGAGATTGAACGGCCGGGCACGTGACTCCCTTCTCCGCCGCTCTCCAGCGCGGAGAGGCCCTCGGCGAGGCGGGCGAGGCGGACCTGGCGGGCCGGGGCCGCAAATGAACATTTACTGCGACACACGTCTCCATTACGGCGGGGCGGGGGACACATTCAAATAAGGAAGGCGCGGACGAAGACGCTGGGAGGTGGGCACTGCTCCCCGCCAGCCGCGCCCTGGGCAGCGCAGCGCGCTGAAAGGCGACCTCGCACTGCAGCGGCTGCAGCGCCCCATCAACGCAACGTGATACTCGAATAAAAACAGCCGGCGAGGTATTAAGTTCGAGATACTCTCGCCGGCCGCGCTCCAGCTTCATCATTATTTTTACCTCTTTCCTGCGCCGCGCGCTGCGGGTCGCTGCGGGTCCTCTACTACTATGGGCCGCGCTATCAAAAGTTGGGAACGGCGGCAGCTTCTAGTGTGGGGACGGCCCCCGGGCTCACCTCCCCGACTGCCACCCAAAGTCCCTCCCTCCCTTCCCCCGTCGCCTCCACTGGGCGAAGCGACGTCCAATTAAAATCAAATTAAACTTTTCGAAACAGATTCGAACTAATTTGGTTGAACCGCGGCGCGGCCTGCACGCGGCCGGCGCGGGGACTTTGCCTTCTTAACGGAAAAGGAGCGCTGGGGGGCTGCGGGGGCTCAGCGTCCTAATCGTTAAACGCGCCCCTGGCCCCGTGGCCCCGAGGCTGAGGCCGGCTTCTTCTGGGGTAACTTGAGCAGGGACTTATTGGGAGGTACCCGTCCAGAGCGCTGCGACGGGTGGGGCGCCTGGTTCGCCTTGGAAACACCGGCGACGCCATCTGTATCAAACTGGCGGTCGCCAAACAGATCTTCAGCAAAATGGTCCGAAGCTGTCACAACGTCACAAAGTTACTCCACGAATATAGGTGCCTGTTGGATAAGGTGGCAAA